GATTGAATAACATTTGATGTAAGATCAATTGTTTCATGAAGAATTTCATCACGACGATGAAGTAACTCCGATTCACGTTTATTTGACATAATAGTTTTTTTCGTAAATATTGCGCGAATTTATTTTTTCAAGATGATGAATAGTTTTCAAATTTATTCAAGTTGAAAGTCAAACATAACAAGAATGAAGCACAAAGAACAAATACAATAACAAAGAGAGAAACAGAAAGAGATTAGTATAAAACATATCATCTTTTCTCTTTCCTCAAAAAAAATCCCCGAGAATTTCATCTGTGTAATACTCAAGACAGAGATGTACTCAAAAAAAAAGAAACAATAATAATAATAATAATAATAATAATAATAATAATAATACTATCACTTTATCCAGAAAAGAAACAGAAAACATTTTGAATAGTTATAACAAATAAGGAAACAAAAAATTCTAGAAGTGCACTAATAATGTGCAATACAAAAAGAGAAGAAAGAAAGTCACTCTTTGATTATTTTAATGTGTTACACCTCTTCCACCTCGTCGTGCTCCTCGACCACGAATACCACCACCATAAAATGGTGTTGTTGTTGAATTTTCATAGTTTGGTGCTGCTGGATAACCAGTTGATTGATAATTTGTTGGCGAAGCAGCTGTTGGATATGTAGGACGAAATGTATGAGGAAATGGGCGACGTTTTTTTGCTTCAACATTCACTTGTTGATTTTTTAGAAGATTCTCATGATCAGCGATGATTGCTTTAGCCATTTCAATTGATTGACAAACAACAAAGGCAAAATTTGCTGCACCAACTTGAGATCCTGTATTACCAATACGAACAAGTAGAAGACGACCATAGGGTCGAAATAATTCATGAATCTAAATTTAAAAAAAAAAAATAATAAAGAAAATTCTATTTCTTTTCTTTTTTTTACTTCTTGTTCAGTAACTTGAGCAGAAAGATTTCCAATAAATATTTCTTGATCATCTGTATAACCAGTATGTAAATAACCTTCTTCACCAGTTCCATAATACCATGACTCATCATAATAATCATTCGCATCTTGTGGATGACCACGTGTTGCTCGTGCACTACGATTACCTGATTTAGATGCTTTTTGTTTACCAGTTTTAGCTGTTTTTGCTCCAGTTCCTGCTGCTGGTGCTGCTGCCACTGCTACTGCTGTTGTTGGTTGACTTTCGATTGTAGTTGTTGTTGCTGATGCTGTTTTTTCTTTCTTTCCAATAGCATCTCGATAAGATTTAGGTTTTGATGATTGTTCTTTTTCTTGTGTTTTCTGTTGTTGATCAACAGGAGTAACTGGTGGTGTAAAATTACCTTTTGGACTTTTATTTATTGCAGATTTGTTTTCTTTTTTATCTATTCCATTATCCGAAAAATCAATCTTTATTATAGCTGATGGAGTTAATGGTATTTGTACCGCTGAAGTTGGTGGTGGTGTTTTTGTTGGAACAGTTCCAAATGATGCTACTAAAAAAAATATTTATAGATATTACATTAGTTGTCAAAATACCTTCATGAGTATCTGTTGTTGATGATATTTTTGTATTATTATTATCTGTTGTTGAAATTGGTGTTGTTATATCTTGATATCTAAAAATATCATTGTGTACATAATATTTTTGTTTAGCATTTGCTGTTGGTGCAAGAACAAATGTTTGAACAAAACGTTTCATAATCGGTGTTTGATTATCTATGACTGGTGCTGTTGATATTTCTCCACAAACTTGTACAACAACTGATGAACCAACAGTTGAATGACAATCAACTTGACGAATTTTAACATGACGTTGTTTTAATGATAATTCTTCAATACGTTTAGCGATATTTTCTATATCAGTTACAGTTTTATTTGGATCATCATGCATAAAAGTCGATGATGATGAATAGAAACGATGCAAAGATTCTGGATGTTCATGAAGAAGACGATAATATTGAACAACAAATGCTTTACCAATTTGTTGTGGGGAAACATCATTTGAATTATTTGTTGTTGTTATTGTAGATGATGACATTTTTACTATTTATATGATGAACAAAACAAGAGAATACGTTATTATGTTGGATAGATTATGGAGAAAAACATTTAGAAAATCTAAAAAAAAAGTACAAATAATATTTTTATTTTGTATTGGAATAAAAAAAGAATCAGTTAATGATAATGATATCTATATGGTACAGTTAAACGATTGATTGTAGTTGATTTTACGGGTAAATCATTTTTCGTATAATGTGAACATAAATCAATTATATTAGAAAATTTTGGACCATTTTCTGAGATAAAATATTCTTCATGCTTAAAATAGAATAAATAAGAAAATAGAATTGATAGAGATTGAATAATACTTTTCGATTTTGATAAATATTCCATGATAATATTGGTGAATGGTCATTTTCATAAACTCGTAATGCCTTTTCAAAAGAAAATATAATTAAATCTTAATTAATTGTTTTTTATTTACCAAAGTACAATCCAATTCAGGATTGTTTTTCTGTGAGACAGCAAAGACTCCTGATTTATTGATATCGTGAAGAATTCTAAATAATATTTTTACAAAAAACTTTTTTTTTATTAAAGTTTTAAGTTAAATACGAACTTATATAAATCTTCGAATTTTCCTTGATAAAAAATATTCTCTATATTTAACTAAAAAGCAAATAAATTTTAAAATAAAATAACCAAAGATTTCTTTGTTTTACTGTTAATATTTTTGGATTCAGTACAATATAGTTTAGACTTTCGTCTGAGGGTGTTGCTGATGTACCAATTTCATTGGGAATTATACCTACACTATTTAACAAATAACTTGTTTTTATTTCCGTGATGAACAAATAAAAAGAAGTATACTTACGGTCTAGGTTTTGGTGGAATAGGTGGTCCTGGTCTTTTAACGATGGCTACATTACCATTATTGGAATTTTTGCCTAAATAAAAACCATATCAGAATATAATCAAATCTTAATATAGAAAAATGAATCATTGGATTATAGCTAGAAACATACAGCAAGCAGCAATGAAGAATAATCAATACCATGAACAGGTTTTACATCACTATAATTCATGAAATACGTTTAAAAACTCCAACGAATAAATTATAACATACGAATCTTCACCATAAGTTTCATTTGATTCAACTTTAAGCTTTTCAATCACTTTATTCAATATTAGTAACCAATTCTGAAAAAAGAAAATGAAAAAAATAAAATGCTAGTTTATTATATATTTATTTACATTTCGAGTATCTTCTGTATCACAAATAAATATTTCTTTTTTCGGTGAAGTTTTTGGTATTAATTCAAAACAGAATGATGGTCTTGATAGTGGTGAAAATTTCCATCCTGCATCTTTTTTTGGTTCAAAAAAACATTTTTCAGCTCTAAAAACGAATGTAAAGAATAATAAAATATTGTTTAATTTAATTTTATTCACTTTTCATATTCAATTAAATCAAGACAAGCAAATAAATTTTTTGTGTATCTATTTTCAAATAAATACAGTTTCATAGATTCAGATTCATCAGCATATTCTGTTTTAACTAAACAAGTAATATATTGTTTTTGATCTAAAAGAAGAATTTTTTTAAGAAATACTTCATTTATATATATAAAAACTACCTTGTTTATAATGAAGTTTATCTTCAAATATAATATTCTTTTTAATTGAATCATATGTATGTTTAGATGGATCCATTCTGAAATAGGTTTGTTTTTTTATTTAAAATAAAAATAAAAATGAAAATAAAAAAAATATTTTATTTCGATTTTATTCAATATAATAATTTTCATGTTCGTTATATTTATAAGGTTTTTTAAGATAAACATTTCGTATATCCATAGGTAATTCATGAGTTGTATAGTATTGACACAGTTGAATTATATCGACAAACTTTCGATTATCTTTTTTTGATAAACCATATCGATTTCCCTAAGAAAAAAAAAGATATGTTTATTGTATTTTCAAATTAAAACAAATAATTTATTCGTACTGGAAATTCTTCTATTCTAAAACATCGAACATCACTCGAATTATGATACAAACATAATGTCTAAAATATAGATCCACCATATAAGTTTAAAAAAACGAAACTATTCTAAAATCTTACATAATTGTGATCGTTTGAATTTGTTTTTTTCGATTGAGGCCGAATAAGAAAAGTACCATATTCACCCGTTTTAGTAATAACACTTTAAAGAAACAATTAAAATAAGGTTTTTTTAATGTTTATTTGTTTTACCTTCTATAATCATTATTTTCATTCGAATAATAAATATCATTCCATAACATTTTCTAAGAATTATTTATATTTTAGAAAAAAAATATGATTTTCTTTTGTTTTACTTTATTTTGTTGAATATGTATATCATTATTTGATTTTAATGGAACAGATGATCTCGAATGATGAACTGGATCAACTACAGAATAAGGTGACATATCTGGATTAGATTGACTTCTGGAAGAATTGAATATTTCTTCTAAATTTCATACGATAAATATTATTTAGTAATCATACGGAATACATACGTTTATTTATATTACAACCATTAGTACCTTTAAATAAAAAAAAACAAATATTGATATAAAATTTAAAATTGAATATAAAGATATAGCAATCAGAATACAAATCAAATTGAGCAAAGAAAAAGGATTTCTTTTTTTAATACCCTGTTTTAAAGAACTCGATGGTTTATCTCGAGATTCTTCGATAGGTATCGGTGTTAAACTGACAAGATAATACATTAGAAAATATTAAAAAAGATTTTCATTCTATTTACTATCCAAGTACAGGATCTGCCGGTGGTAATTTTAGTTTTAAAACAAGATTTTCTAACATATTCACCCAAATCTAAAAGATTTATTTCGAAAGAAAAATTTCAAATATATTTTTTAATAATTACCGTTCGTGTTGGATCATCTTTTGCACCAAATATTTCCGCATTTTCTTTATCAATAAATTTCAATTCAAATAAAAAACATTTCGGTATAGGTGTTATTGTCTTATTACATCGGTTATTAATTCTACAAAAAAAAAATTATAAGATCATCAATAGAGAAAAATTCTTTTCAATTTACATTGTTTTCTTATTGATGGAAAAAAAATTCGATGAAGATTTTTTTTCATCAGGAAATAAATATAACCCAATAATATCTTCCATATTTTCAACAGGCATTCGAACTAATACAACACGATATATTTTAACTAAAAGAAAAAATTTTCAATTCTTGAAATAAAATTTATTGAATAAAACGTACAAACCGATTGACCGAGAACATTTGTATTGCATAAATAATGTAAATTATCTTGATAAATAATCCATTGAGATTGGATATCTTTATAGCTATAAGTTTCATATTCATATAGAGTTTTAGTGTCACCAGAAAGTTTTTTAAATATAGTTTTTAATGTTCCCATTTTGAAAGAAATTTATTTTTTGTCACTTGGGACAATACTTTATCTGAAAAAAAACCAAGTAAATGTTATCTTCTATCGATAAACACTCGAAAAGATAACCTGTTAATATAATTAGAATGAAAAACTTAGAAGGGCAAAAAAAAAGAAATTAAAATTTGCTCGAATAATGTAAATAGTATGTATATGGCCATTTTAAACAAAGATTTCCAACAGATGCTTTGGATGTATTATCTCGTGATGATGAACGAGGTAATGGATGATTTGTATAGTATTGACAAAGATTAGAAATACTATCAAAACTCGGTTGATTAATATCATTTATTAAACTAATTTTATTATTCTACAATTTCAAAAAATAAAATATACATACTCTATTTTAAAAACAAAATAAAAACTTACCGATAGATATAAAATTTTATATTTAATAATTCCACCGAATGCATAAATACTTAATGTCTAATAAAATCAAATTTTTCACTTCCTATTTTTAATAAATATATGACATACATATTTATGTTCATTGAGTTTGTTATTATTTTCTGATTGAGGTCGAATAAGAAAAGCACCAATTTCACCAACGTCATTCAAAACACTATTTATATTAAGAATAGAATTTCTTTTCAAATAATTGTTTTTTTTACCGTGCATGATCCTGCAATTCATTAGAATAAAAAATATCATCCCATGTAAATAACTAAAATAAAATCTAAGATAATTTACAAAAGATTTTTGTTTAATTTTTACTCGATCTTCCAATAATGTTGATTGATGTCTATGAGAAATCTCATCATCTTCTTTAATTACAGATGGTAAAATTTCTTGAGCTTGAAGATAAATATTTTTTTCTGTCGTTTGACAAACAGGAAGACTATGACTTCGATGCATTCCATTTTGTTTCTTATTATTTGAGTTCAACGGTTCATCTTTCGGTATTGGGGGAGGTGAACGATGTGGTAACATAAAGATACTACTCGGAATGGATGAAGTACTATGAAGTCCATTATTAATTGCTGATTGATTTCCACTGAATATAATTGATTATTAATCGAAAATATATATATATATCTTACTCTTTACTGTCAACAAATGGTTCATAATGTGAACGAACATAAGCATTAACATGTTCTAAAATAATATTAAAATATTAAGATAAAGAAAAATAGGTTTTTATTCAAAGAGAACAGCAAGAATCAGATATGAGCATATTATTATATCTCAAAGTATTTTATTCAGAATACCCGTTTTATAGGAATCTTCTTTCCAACTTCGTCTAAAATTTGGTTCATTTATCGATAAACTGATCGAATACAACACATAGATATTACAAACAAAACTGTTAGGAACTTACTTGTCTAAAATTAAATTTTGTTTTGTCCAATCTAATGCTTCACTAATATATTTAATCCAATTCTACGTCAAAAAAATTTCGAATTCAAATAAAGTTCTTATTTTTTGCATACATCTCGTTCGATGACATTATTCGCACCAAATATTTCAATATCATTTTGATGTTTTCCAGTTAATTCAAATAGAAAATATTTCGATTTTACTGGTTTTGAACATTGATCAGATATTCTAATTAAAAAGAAAAGAAAAACTTCAAATCTTCTTCCACTTTCAAAATAAATTCTTCACCTTTCATATTCATTCAATTGAAAAAAATTCGATGGTTTTTGTTGTTGATTTCTGTATAAATAAATCGCCATTATTTCTTTATTATCATCCGTAGGAATTTTTGCTAACACAACATAATAAATAGCAACTAAAGCAAAAATACATGGTTATAAATAAATTCATTTTTTTCCGTTACATTGTGAAATATTGAGTAGTTTTATTCGATCATAACGATAATTCAGATGTCCTTCACAAATAATCCATGTCTCATTTAAATCCGAATGTTTATATAAAGTATAATCAATAAATGAGTTTCCATTTTTTTTTAATGTTCTACTCTTTGATACTAAAGAAAGTAAAATCATATGTTTAATAACAACATAGTTTTCTTCTTAATCATACGCATGATTTTTCTTATCTAAAAAGAGTTATTTTATTTATTTAAATAAATGCATGAGGAAAAACAGAATATTTATTTATATTAAAAATCCTCCACGTAAAGCTAAAACTAAATGAAGAACACTTCCAGCATTAACATTATATTCACTAACTGTTTTATCATCCATCATTTGTTTACCACCAAAAATCAGACGTTGTTGTGGTGGAGGAATTCCTAATTAGAAATAAATGAGTTTTATTAAATTAAGAAAAAAAATTACATTACCTTCTTTTTCTTCAACACGTTCTTTAATACGTTCGATTTTATCTGTACCATCGATATCAACTTCAATTTCTTTACCAGTTAATGTTTTTACTTTGATCATCATTTTTCAGACTCAAGTGATTTACAATTTAGTTTCGTTTTAAACTGAGTTTTGTCTATTCAATGGTATTCTATGGAATATGAGTCAGAGAATTTTTTTTTCTAGAATTTTAATAATATTTTTCTGTTGAAAGAAATATTTTTTTATTTTTATCGAATTTATATTTATGAGAAATAATTTCGTAAATTAATTTACAACAGATGTCATCTGTTGAAGTAAAGAGACAAGATATATATTTATTATTGGAATTGATTTCAATCATTGGTTGTTTAAAGAAGGAATTTAGTCAGTCATAGAAATATAAAAATTGAAATAAATGTATATTGTTTTATTTAACAAGGTTATATGTATTTATTCGTCCTTCGATGGAGAAAAAAAACGAAATATCCAAATCATGTAAATAGGATCTATCATAAGCATATACATTTTTATATTGAATAAATAAAAATATTTTTTAAATAAACTATTCTTAAGGTCGTTTGTTAATAACATTCTTTTTTTACAATAGCCTAGAAGTCAAATTGAAAGTTCAATGTCTTGTTTTATGTTTGAATGACGTACTTATTCATATGCTCATGGACATCATTCATCATTGTCAATAGAAATGAAAGAGAGCAGAACAAGTGTGAAGAATCGAGTGGTTGACTACAGTGCAGTGCTTTCCATCAGCTTCATCTCATCTGTCTACACCCCTTCTTGTGATGTAATGGAAAGAGTTGCCTTTCAATGACAAGTGATTATACATTCAGTGCTAAAATATTACCACAAGAAAGTTACATATAGACACGTATGAGCATCGTTCATGAAAGAAGAAAAAAAAAAGAAAATCGATTCGTTTACATTTTCTTTCTCTCCCTCTCTCTCTCTCTCTTGTATTTTATCTACATATTTTAGACAAAAGAAGAATGTCGACAAATCGACTAACATCATTTAATAAACGTCCTATAATGATGAATAATCATACACATTCAATAAGTAAGTATAATTGTAATATTTTTAATAATAATCTCTCTTTTTCTCGTTTATTAGCTGATATACTCGGTCATGAACAAATTGATTTAACACGTTTAAAAAAACAAGCACAATTAACACAAACACAAATACCTAAAATTCCACGTATAACACGTACATTAAATACACTTGAAAGTGTTTTGAAAATCTTAGAAGAACATAGTCGATTATCAAAATGTCAAATTGATAAACTTATTCAATCAGTTGAAAATGAAAATCATCAATTAGCACGAGTAACATTATTCTTTTTTTCGAAATTTTCTTATTGTTTTTGTTTTCTATTAAAAGCAATTACATGAATCACAAGTAGCTTATTTAAAATTACAAGCACATACAGCTTCATTACAAAGTTTAAAAGAATGTTATTGTCGATATGCTCATATGCTTGATGGTGCAAGAACAATGTTTAATGCATATCAACAAACAACAACAAAACGAGATTCAATTGATCAAGTTAAGCTTGGTCTTAAAGAATGCACTCAAGTTAGTCATTTTGTTTCTTACGTCATTGAGGATAGTTATACAAAAATATGACATAATCACTTGGTTTCTATTAGATGTGTTGACATGTTGAAGGAAACACTTCTTATGAGATATATTAGTTCTATTCATTCATTATGACATAGTTCACGAATACATCTGTCATATTCAAACAAGAGATAAAAATGTTACAAATATTCTCTATGTTTACAATCTCTTATTGTTGATTAGGATAATTATTTATCATAATACAAAGGAATTTTTTTTGTTTTGAATAGACTTTATGTGCAATTGAAGCTCAATTAGAAGCAATGTTAGGTACATTTGTATTAAATCTTCAAGAAATTAGTGGTTTTTCACGAATATGTCCTGGAGATGAATATGAATTAGTTATACGTTATGGACAACAAAAATGGAAAACTCGTGGTCGAATACGTAAACATGATCGAAATGAACAAATTTGGACTCAACAAATATTTAAATTAAAAGCTAAATTAGCTGATTTATTATTAATTAAAATTAGTGAAGTTAAATTATTAGGTGTTTCATTGAAAACAATTGGAACAAAATGTTTTGAAGTTAATAATTTTTATTCTATTGAACCACAACGAATGATTATTAATGCGAATCAAAGTGGAACAATTAAACTAATCTTTTTAATTCATTGGGAGTAAGTTTGTCATTTAATAAAATACGAAACTTCTATACAAGATTAAATATAATTTTTCATGCGTATGATTCTTAGTTTCCATATTAAATAGAGAATGTCAACAATGACCTTTTTTTTCTAATAAGAAAGTCAAATATGCTTGTTAGAATTTGACTACATAAGCAGGTATTTGCATCGTTAATATATATAAAAAATCGTATGTCAACGTAATATTATTAATATTAACATTAAATATGAGCTTGCAAGGATTATGAACTAACAGGATATATGGTCATATTAATCGTTAGAAAATGAATGATAATTTAAATATGTTGATATGCATTATTAGTTGCGACACTTTAGATATATCAATTATTCTCCCTGAGTAACGAAAAATTGAATCCGTTTAATCAAAAAGAGTCTTACAATTTTTTTATAGATACTCATCGACCTCCATTATTACGCAAGTTTATATAGAAAAATTCCGAGAATTTAAGATTATATTTGTTTATAAACAATTTTTGAAATTTTTAACATTGAAGAATATTTAACTAAAAATTAAATTGTTTTCTTTTCTATGTATTTAGTCTCTATGATCAAGTTGATACAAAATTTACATTTTATAATCCAAATCGAACATATAACGATGTAACACGAACATGGTCAATGTTTGTTGGAAATACAACATTACTTCGAACTGTAAATGATACACTTTCTTCATCTTCTTCTTCTAATCAATATTCTTCTAAACGTTCATCAACATATTATCCAATACATTCAGAAGAAACGAATGAATATTTACCATTTACTCCTCCTCTAACTGATGAAAGTAATCATTATGATGAAATTCATTTAGAAAATAAAAATGTTGAAATACCAAAAGAAGAAGTAATTATATATAAAATATTATTTTCTATTCAAAAAGTATTCATTTTTATTCTATTTAGATTTCAGATAATTTACTTGTTCATGATGATACTCGTTCGTCATCATATTCATCATCATCATTTGCTGTTGGTTTAAATTCTGATGAAATTTCATCAGCAGTATCAGTTGATTATTGTCATAGTGAAGAAGAAGAAGAAGAAGAAACTGAGAATGAATCAATTTACGAACTTGATTTACTTATTGATCAAGTTCGAACATGTTTAGATGATTTACGTCTTATTGATCGATCATTTTCAATAATATTTGATAAAATTGAACAGATTATAAATGATTTAGATAAAATAATTAAACTACAAATTCATGAACAAACCGAACAAACATTAGAAATTGAAAATGTTCTTTGTGATTTTAATTTTTTAAATGCTATTGATGATGAAGATACATCAAAAACAATTGATTCAGGTTTTGAAGGTGAACAACAAATAAAACAAAATGAAAATTTTACATCAAATATTAATCAAATAACGAATACTATTTTTGTTGATATTCTTAATCGATTATTAATTCTTCTTCATGTAAAAAATATTTTTCTTTTTATTGATTTATTTTTATTCTTCTTTTTTTATAGTATATTCAAAATCGTTCAAATTCTGATGATGATCTGATTCTCGAACGCCTTAATGAGCAATATGATCAATTGACAATGGCCATATTTTGGTGTCAAAATCATGTACAAGATGTTAAACAAGGTAAATTAAATATTCGAGAGTTACGAATAATTCATAGTCTTATATAAGAGAAAATGCAGTAGTTGTGACCGATAGAAGAAGAAGAGAAAAAAAACTTTTTAATCAATACTGAAGATCACTTCAACAGTACGAGATTCTTACTTACGGGACAAAGACATAACGTACTAGGTGTTCGGAATTGATTTTCTTTTAACCATTTTTACTGGTAGTCCGTAAAAGATGTTGGTCAGGAAATTATAGTTTAATGGGTGGGTGTGGGTATGGGTGTGTAGTATGAGAGAAGAATCGCTTAAATATCCACTCCCACACCCTCAAGATTTCACTAGAAATATTTTTTGATTGTGTTCTTTTAGCATTATCTCAATCTGATCCATCAATTATTGAATTTTGGTTAAAATGTTGTTCAAATGAAACATTTGTTATTTCTTTTGAACAATGTCTCAATGAAATAATGAAATATTTCAATTGTACTCAAGGTTAAATTTTGCTTTTGTTTATTTATATAAATTAGTTTTGTTTGTTTCATTTAGATGTTGCTCAATATTTATTAAATAATCTTTGTTGTCTTCCATTTCGAAATAATTTTACTCATCCAAAATATCTCACACTTATACAAATTTGGTTTCTTTTAAAACAATCTCGTTCACAACTTGAAAAAGATATTCAGATAGCTAATGAGCAAAGTAAATTGAAATAAAATTTTTCAACTTCAAGAAAACAATTTTTTTTATTTTTAGTTAATCTTTCAAGAAATCTTTCAAGTTTAATTTTGAATAATAATTATACTCAAATATCTTTAATGCTTAATCGTCGCACGTTAAATAATGATGAAATTTTAGATCGAATATTAGAAGGATATCAATTTAAGATTCCAGGTTAATTTCTTTTTTCTATTCAAATCTTTTCTCTATTTAATATTTTTTAGATGAATTGATCGGTATGTTATTAACATCAATTCATCATGATTTAATCTCACATTTACGTACAGCCTTATTATCTCATCATGATAATCCATGTAAACGTCTTCAAATACACAAAATGATCTTTAACGTGCAACAAATGGATTCACTCTAGTCATATGAATTAGAAAACAAAGCATATTTTCTTTCTTATTGTTATTTTGTTTTTTTTCTTCTTCTTTTTCTTCTTATGTATGCGCAATCCGCTTAGAACAGTGTTTGCTTGTTTGTATATACGATGATGTTGATGATGTCTATTCTCTAATAAGAAAAACATCTCTTGCTTTTTTTTTTGATAATAATGAAGGTAAAAAGTATAATAAATATTAAAAGAAACAAGATATTTTAGAAAAAATTTCCAATGGGTAGAACAAAAAATCGTGCAATTGCTCAAAAATCGACTGTTAAACAACAAAAAAGTAATATAAAACCAAAAGCAGTTAAAACCAATTTGAAACGAGTAAGATTATAAGAAATATTCTATTCGAATTATTTAAAAACAATTTTTTTCTGTTTAGTTAAATGAACGATTAAGAGATAATGTTAAACAAGTTGATAAATTATATGAAGATCAAACTAAGACACAAGTAAAAAAATTAAACGCAATTATTATATTTTAAAATTTATTTGTTTAGGAAAAAATGGAAACAGTTAAAGAAGATCCGACACCAGCATCTACATCAACAACAGCAAAAGCTAAATAAAAATGTTGTTGTTAACTAATTGTTTTTTGTTTTGTTAAAAAAAAATAAAACAATTTCTGTTAATTAAAAACACGCTCTTATTTGGATTATAATATAGTCTCTGATTCCTCTTTATGAAACTTGATGCCGCTGATTCTAGAAATTATAAATTCATTATTCGGTTGAAAATTTGAGACGAAATAAAAATTCAATTGTTTTGCATATTTATTTTCAAGTTCGATATTAATTATTTTTGTTTGAATTCGTCATCGAATGAAATATGTTGATCAAAAAAATTCTTGTATTGATATTCTTTAAGAACATTGTCAAGCTCATCAAGTGCTGAATTTGAATGACAAAGAAACATATGCTATATTTCTATCATCCATCACATAAATATTATTAAGTGAAATTTATACTTCCTCAAACAAATGATCCGATTTCATCTCGAATCATGACTTGATTGCGTCATAAATCTTCATCCTACACAACAATGTAATCATACTATATTTCAATTCTCAATATCTATACTTGGCAAAAACAACGACTTCCTTTCTTTTTAAACTTCTATGAATAAGAAATGATATTTTTGTTTAAATGTATTTATTGTATAATACACCATAATGTTCATCACAGTATGTATCAAATAGAAAAAAAAATATATAGATCTTTTACATATGTATACTACAATATGTTGGTATCTTTGATTTAATGATTATCAAAATATCCTAGAAAATAATAAAGAATTTCTGAATAAAATTTCTTTCTTTTGTTTATTACTTTGTCACCGTTTTCTTCAAAAACATTCAATGCATTATTCACCATATCTCGATGTTTACGATTCGACATATGTTTTGCTAGCTAAAAAAAAATTTTAATTATAAATTCCTCTTTTTTTGCTTCTTCTGAGTACTTACAATACTTAAATAAGTTTTTAAATATTTATCTAATTCACTTTTAACAACTGTACTTAATTGTGTTAATGCAGTTAAAGCACCTTCGAAAATTTCATCATTATTTGAGCTTAATGCTAATTTAATTGGATTAATTAAATTAGGTAAAAGTGGTATAACTTTTGGTGCGGCATTGACATTTGACATAAGTTCAGTAAAACCTTGTCGACTAATAAATGGCAATGGATGTGCTGTTTCACGTAAACCTTCAGCTAATAAAACAACGACAGGATCATAATTAAGATCATCAATTGATGTATTCCATGCTAAACGATTTTTTACTGAACCATGTACAAGACGACAAGGAATACGTCCGGATGAGAATGCATTTAAAAATGGAGATTTATTTGGAGAAGTTGAAAAAGGATCGATGGTTTTTGGACATAATTTTGCTGAGGGACGATTAAGAGAAGCAGCCATTTATCATTAATGATTGTCAGTTTTTTTCGGTTGCTAAGTGAAACAAATAGGCCTTTTGTTTGTTTTCTTTTTTTTCTTGTTGCTGTGTTGTTACATTATGTCAAGAGGTGGCAGTAGTTTCTAACGAACTAAATAATCGGTTTAAACAAAAGAAATTTATTTTATTCTCACATAAGCATGAACTGGATTTAATTCCGGATTTTTATTTATATTTACAATGAAAATGTTTGTTTGGTACTTTTAAGTCTTCTAATACATATAGTTACGAATGACATAGTAATAATTTATTTTCTCTTCGTCATAAAATAAATTGAGATGAAAAGGAAATCTATAATTAATTTTTTAACTATGAAAACTTTCATTGAAATAAAAAACAACGTGAATCAAGATTTATTATTTGTATGAATAAACGTACTTGCATTTAAATCATGATATTTTATCGTATAAAGTACGTAAAGGTATAATCTGTTCTTTCCTGCGTCATATGGGTCGAGCACGAAAAGTACGATAAGTAAACTCAAATATATATCAGTTTTGGTTGTCATCATTGATGTCGATGCATTTTTTTAGGACCTATATAAATGAGTCGCTGATTACGCGAGGGTTTACAGTTTTTTTTCCACATATACAAAAGAAGAGCTAACATTTCTTCATCTGTCGATTATGAGTCAAGTTCTCACATGACGAATTGATAAGATGTGCTACCGTGTTATTCTGGTATGTCCCAGCTCTATCGATAGTTTATTAATACGAGGATGATAGAAAATTATTCATGTATAAAATCAGAATAAATTATTAGTCAAATCTATGATTAAAAAAACGCCTTCGTTTTATTTGTTTCTTGTCTGTCGTTTAGTAACAATATGAATCATGATGTCCTGCTATTGGACTGTAGATCTATGGTGATCGTTTTTTTTTATTTTTTTATAATAAGAAAGAGAGAGAATCTGTTTGTTACCGTTCTTCTATATATATATGTAAATGAATATTTTTATATTTCTTTAGATTTCTTTCTACTAAATAATGACTACATGCGTTGCGCAACAATCTTCAACACAATTACCAACAATAATTTATACACGGAAATATTTTCAAGAAATTTCACATGACTCAGAAGTGATATCAATGTCATGTCGAAAACGTTTATTAAGCGAACAAAATGAATATAGCAATTCTCTTACGAAACATCATGTTGTTGACAATGACATGAATAAAAGGACAAAAACAGGTAATTTCATCATGCTAAAAATCCATGAAGAGTACGAGCAATAAAATTGATGACGGTTATGTTTGCATATATTCTCGTTCTTTCTCCTACTTTCTAACGCCCACGTTTCTAATGCATTACGTTATATTACATATTTTTTTAACCAATAGGTTTGTTTGACACTGAGTCACTAAAGAAACACCAACATCATGGGATACAATCCTGTTCTATGTGTTTTCGAGAGAGCACTCGATTTTGTCGTTCTGCGCCAGGACTCTTACGACGTAAGAGCCTTACTCACGCGCCTTTTACCTATATAAAAAACGTTTCTTCAGCACAAGCAAACATAAGTTTTTTACCTCCTTTATCGAAAACAACGACAACATCATTAGAAAAAACTATGCTTACCTGCGAACCAGTTACTGTAATTACTACTGATAATCAAACAGACAAAGATGTTAATTCAATATTTTTAACAACTTCTCAATTAGCTGCTTATATGACAGCTATTCAAAATAATGCTGAACAAAATATATTTATAATTGATTGTGGTCTTCCATTGAGACATACTGAACGACGAATTCAAAATTCATTTTTACTAAACGTTAATGATAAAATATCTCGAAAACGTTTAGCAACACGCGGAATAAAAAATTTCTTAGCAAATACTCAATTAGATCGTTTAAATCAAAATGAAATTATTATTTTATATGATGATACTATTCGTCCAACATTATCATGTGCTAATTCAACCATTCCAATGCAACTTTCATCATCAATGAAATGTGTTTATGATCAAATCAAACTATATGATACAAATAAAATAATTTATATTCTTCAATCATCATTTGATGAATTTTATCAACATTATCCATCACTTTGTTATATTAGTACATCAACTGATGAAGACCAACCACCATCTCCATTATCTTCCTTATTGACAATTAAACCACTCGATATTGAATCTTACCAAATGTCGGAAATTATTCCGGGTCTTTATCTTGGAAATTCTCATGATGCTGAAAATATCAATTTATTAAAACAAAATAATATTCAAACTATTATTAATATATCAACATCAATTCCATGTTATTTTGAAAATGAAAAATGTTTTGACTATCAACAATTACCTTGCCATGATTCTTCAAGTCAAAATATTCTTCAATATTTTGAAACAACATTTGAATATATGGATGGAAAATTATCATCAAATAAAAATATTCTTGTTCATTGTCAAGGAGGTGTTAGTCGTAGTCCATCATTTATTATTGGTTATTTAATGAAATATCATTCAAAAACATTTGACGAAGCACACCAACTTGTAAAGAGTAAACGAAATATTGTTAATCCAAATTTAAATTTCTTAGGGCAGTTGATACAATATCAACAAATATTGAACAGTGCTTAGTGTCATTTGTTTTTTGTGTTTTCTTTTTATTTATTTATAATTCGAATTGTATATTTTATGTCAGATACTGTATGTTTGTATATAAAATAGTAACGAAATTTAATATTCTGCTATTTCTATATGTCAAATACATGTATTTGTTTTCTACGACTTGATAATAGTAAATATGAAAATTTAACTTTTCTCAATAACTATATTTCATTTATTACATGCTAAAAATATGGATACTTACATGTTTACTACAGTTATGAATCTTCGATATAGTGTAGATTCATTATCAACAGAAATAATGACTACTAATTATTTATAGTTTTTCGTTTTCAATATCAAATATTTCACACGTTATACGGAATTTATATGAGTCAACTGTCTGGTCATGAACGTTTCGTTGAATAAAATTAGTTACAATTAATCAAAAGTTATAGCGAAATATAAACAAAAACAATGTTTACTACAGTACCTTTTGAAATAAAATCATTCAGCCAGATACAATATTTCCTTTCAAATCAATTTTAAAATTATAATTAGGAAGAAAACTGAAATGTTTTCTCCGTCAAATGTCAACAATTGAATACTTTAAACATTCAAAATTAAACGGAACTAAAGATTTGTTATGGCGCGATAGATAAATTGCAAGGTAAAAAGAACACAGAGAGATGAATATTTACAATGACACATACAGATATTATTTACTGATGATAAGAATCTTCCTAAAACAAATGTAACTTTTGCAATTTAAAATATTATCTACCTTTGAAATGAAAGTAACAGATAAGTAAACATCATATCTTAACTTTGACAATCATGAATAATCCTAGATACAGCATCATTATCTACATCAGTGTTTGTTAGAAAATCCTTGATTAGAAATCTTCTTTCTGTTATATTCAAGAAAGTCAAGTACTAAGATTTATTATTCAACAGTTTTTATTGAGTCTTAAAGTATAAATCATACACAATCTTTTGCACAGATATATTTTACTATTAGTTTATTACTTGCAACATGACTATAACTTATATGAAAAGATCGGATCAAACTATCACACGGGGGGTTTAACCGATGAAGGAATATTACATCTTTGATAAATTTATTTAATTTATTATTACAAAATTATTTATATATTTCCATCATGTTCTGAAAAGTTCTTTGAGTAAATAGCTATAAAGTCTGAATCAGCATGTGTTTAAACAAACAAAAAATTCTAACTATACTTTACTTTCATTTCAATTTCTCGAAAGACATATGGCAATCGAACTGAGCAAATCGAGCATTCTGACTGAAAAACTTCTTGTCAAAGCGTCAAATGGTATATGAACTTAGTAGTTGAATTAAACTAATTATGCTGATTGTTGACTTTTTACTACTTCTATTCTTTATGTTCATTACTAGTTTTCTTCATAAGGATTTTATTTTTTTGCAGGAACTATCATATCTTTATTGTCAATATCAAGGTGTTTCTTTTTTATCTGTTGGTTTATTCAACTCTTCTCATTAAACATTACCATTTTATTGGATTATTATTTTGATTCTTGTTTTAGTATTGTTTTATCGTCATCATTCGCAAAATGACACATATTGACATCAAAACATAGATATTTTGGTGGACAATTAAAACATTTCATACCTATGTTAAACAATTAAAATGTAAGAAAAGATCTGATCAAACTGTCTACAGACCATCACATGGAGGTTTAACTGATGAAGGAATACTGCAAGGAGACTTTTTTGATTGAATACAAGGTGGACAATTAAACTGACGTTCTGGCAATGTAATAATACCACCTTGATTATCTTTGATATATTTATCTAACTTATTACTACGTGTTTGACAACATCTCTCATTGATATACTTGGTACCATTAATAAACGACATAAATATTGACCAAGAAAGATGATGTATCAGAAACAGTCACAAAAAAAACAAAAAAAAAAACTTGAAAATTAAAATAATAAATAAACGCGCTTAAGTTATATTATTATTTAAATATTCGAAAAAAAGACTTTCTAAATTCTTAATAAATTTCTTCTAGTTTTCTTTTTCAATGTAAAGAATACATCAAATGATCAAATCATTGTCTTTACAAATCGAAAAGATGAAATTAACGTTAATTTAAAATAATGAAGTATCGGATAATGATTCAATATGCCCTAGCGTTTGATGGAAAAACATTTGCACGTAATTGCATTTATATACAGCATATTATTGAATAAAATACACGAAAACAAAGAAGAAGAAGAAAAAATTAAAGGCCCAAACGTTTCTCTCCACACTCACAACAAAATTTTGCCCATTCAACAGGAAAAGCATCACCACATTCATGACAATGTTTAGCTGCTGCTGCTGCTGCTGGTATTTGTGTTCGTGTCTTTTGTTGTTGTTGTTGCTGCTGTTGATATTGTTGTACAACACCATTACTTTGTGACGGTCGACGTGCTGGACTTGGTGATCGTGTTTTCATTCCTACTACTCGTCGTTGTGGTTGAGGTGAAGGATCAGCTTTTTGTTGTCCTCTTCCAGCTGCTATAACATTTAAATCATCATTCTCCATTGTTCGCCCTGTACGCATCATACCGGGTGGATAAACGCCTGTTGCACTACGAGTTTTTGCTACTCGATAAGTGCCATATTTCGGTGGTGTACCATTTGTAGCTGTCTACAAAAATTTAAAAAGTTTTTCTTTTTAGTTTTATTTTCTTTGGAAATTACTTCTCCATAATTTGGTTTTTTAAATGTATTTGGATTTATTGGTGGTCTTCGATAATCTTTTTCATCATTATTTCTAATAGAGAAAAACATTTTTTATTTTATATAAATTTATTTATGTTCATTACTTTGGTGGACGTCTTGACGCATAAGTTGAAGGTGCTGAACTAATTTGATGTTGTTTATTAGCACTTCCAACAGGTGATTCAAGGCCTGAAAATTTTCTATTACAAATTATTTTTTTATTTAATTTATTTACCATATTGTTGTTGTTGGTATGCCTAAAGATGTAAAAAGTTCATTTTTACAAAAAAATATCAATATAAAACTTACACGTCCATTTCGACCAATACTTCCACTTCCAGTACCAGCACGGGCATTATTTGCTGATGATGGTGCTCCTCCTCCTCCTCCTCCTCCACCTGTTGTTGCTGTTGTATATTGCATTTGTTTTCGTTTATGTTGAGTTTCACAACTATATAATTGAATATTTATTACGTATTTATTGACCGGTAAAGAAATCTTACAAAGGTATATGTCGTTCAGCAGAATGTTTATTAAAATTTCGTTGACAATATTCACATTGAACATAATCACTTGGAACTTGTGCTGGCGTTTTTTTTGGTAATGGGGCACCGGTTTCTATGGCTCTTGTTACTTGACGAGCTTCACGAATTGACCTTACTAATGATTCATGACCTTCTCTCCAATTAGTTGGTCTTTTCTTCAAATAATCTTGTTTAGGTTTAACACCTTCAGTATAAAACTGAAATTTATACAAACAATAATCAAATATTTCGTTTGAATAAATATTTCAAAACAAATATATTTTTTTGTATGGTGTTTATCAAACCTGTGTAGTCTCTTTCGTTGCTGTATAAGGCACATCAGAATCAGCAGCACGTTGTTTACCGGCATCGAATATTTTTCTTTGTTTTTGTGAAGTTTTCTTACAAACAGGTTGATGTTTACGCTAATGAATTTAAAAAAAACAAAATGAATCATTAAGTGTATTTATTTTTTTTTTGTAAAAAATTTATATTTACCAGAGATTCTGGATTAAAACAACGACCACAGTTTGAACATGGATAAAGTTGAACATTAGCATAGACAGGTATTGATACATCATCATTTACCTGATAGGAGCTTTCAACAAAGCCACTCTTCTCGACTCCAAACATGTCACTATCGACGTCCATCACGTTGCATAGCACAGAACTCTCTATTGTTCTCTTTCTCTTTTTTTTTCTTTTGCTTCGCTTCGCTTATAAAAATTCTTTTTTTTTCTTTTACAATAGTAAAAAAAAAGTAAAACATAATATATGTTTTCTTGCTCACATGGGAATTGTTAGAATGGGAAGAACAAAAAATATCTTTCATTTAGAAGAAGAAAAAAAAAAGACGTAAGACTTGATTAATAGATGTCTCCTTTTTACGGATATTAACAAAAAAAAAGTAAGACTATAACCTTTCAATAAATTCTAGATAGTTTATATCTTTTAATTCAATAATTTCAGTAATTATTATTACAATAACAAAATTCCGTCGCGCTTACAATCAATCCAAAGCGAAGTATTGATCCTGTGTTATATGGTTACTTATTGCTTTATTGTTCTGTTGAATAGAAGAAGCAATACTCAATGGATTCCATGGTAATCTTCTTTGATTATGTTGATACAGGCGATTCTCATCTCTTCAGATTTACCACTTTCATCGAATGAATGTTCATGTTATTATTCTTATTTATAAGAAGTTGATCCTTATGAGAATATTTATTTGTATAATATCTAATTGTTTTATCTTCTATCATAGAATATCTTCTCATTTTCAATAGTAAATTATATATAAATTTGACTTCATCAAACATGAACGCAATAATTGATAATATCAGAATTGTTGATTTTAGTTCCATTACTCCAATAAATAAACAGAACAGAATTAGCATCATATTCGCTAAACATACTTCTCATATTCCTTATGTTAGAGCTATTT